ATATATATAACCCCTATAGCTAGAAACATAAATCAAAATAAAGATAATTATGTCTGCAGGTAGTGTGCAGCCAGGTACCAACCTGAATTGAAGCTAACACCACCGCCCTGCGTGGTCTTTTTTTTGAATGATTATGGCCAAGGCCATGTATTGGCAACCTGACATTGCCTACTCTACTTCTCGCTTCTTCCCTAAATAATAACATAAACAAGGTTTTACTGTTAATAAATGTGCAGGTCCCGTTGCTATCCTTTCCTCAATATATAATCGTCGAGTCGTCTTTATCGAACGTACATGCCGTGATAAATAAGAACTGAAATAGATGAAGGCCTGGAAGATCCACCATACCAAGAGACCATAACCAGGGGCGAGCAACTCCTAAACTAGGCCTATGACACAGTGTTTTCACGGACCGGTTTATTTTTAGACACATTTCAGAGTACCTTTCCCGCAAAAATGGAATCTCCGCTCCGTCTACGAGCCCTGATTCGAAGTGTAAGATATCAAAAAGGAAAACTAAACGCCTTTAAAAGTTCAGAAATATCACTTTTAGGTCTGCAGTTTTACTGACTGGTTTGTGGGACTTATTTGTTAATCTAAATTCGCGCCAAAATCGATCTAAAAACAAACTGAGCAGTAGACCATACCTTATTCCCCTTGGATGCCGCAGTTGCCGAGCCTTGGGCCTTGGAAAATGTCTCGAAAAGCTCTCGAAAATACAAACGAAATGTGCTCATGCCCCCCTGGGAATCCTATCATACTCCCTAGATCGAATTAATTTAATATGGCCGCTGTATCGGTAAAAAGGTCTATTCACACTATGCCGAATAGCTTTTCCTGCTGCCAAGAAAAGCTACCCGTCATAATCTGAACACCTATTCGATATGCGACTCTCCACGTTAGATCCAACGACGCGAAGGCAACGAGAAAGTCAGAATCACAATTATAGGTTTAATTAGCAAAACAACACCTTTGCACGAGCATCACACTTTTTTGTACTTTTCTTTCAACTTGATGTTTTTGCACGACTACGATGCGAAAATGCCCGTCGACCAACGTCGAAATCTTGTTTCTCTTTTGAATCTTGGATATATGTTCCACATAGGAATTCAATCCCAGTTGGATTCGCCTACATTTGACAGAGTAAGTGGGTAGGAAAAATCGCGATAAAGTCTAAAAGAGCGCAAATTTACTTTTTAAGCGACGTTCTCGTTGCAGTCGAGTCGTTGGATCTTAAAGTCCTTACAGAAATTGCGCCGCGGCAATCGCTCTTGTGTGTGAGCAAGAGCTTTATCCGGTATTAGTTTCGTGGCGGTGAAAAAGCTATCCGGCTGTGAACAGAACCTTAAAAACCACTTCCACCTCCACTTCCACTTCTTTGGAAATCTGGGCTCCGCAGCAATGGCAATGGCCGAATTCATACGAATTATCCGACTCAGACGGATAATTCGTCCCCAGCAAAATTCGTCTGAGGCTGACCCGTCTGTTAGCACATCTTCAAGACGTGCTAACGGACGGACAATTCGTCATAGACGGATTATTCGTCTCTAAATTTATCACGGAAAGTAGACGGTTTTTTGACAAAGTTTCCACATGAGAGGGACTGCTTTCTATATTTTCGCAACTCGGCTCCTCAACTCACCAAAACACCGCCCGTCGTGTAACCCACGTAAAATATCTAGACGAATTATGGAGCAAAATTCGTCTTCGTTTTATACTTAGACGAATTATCCGTCTGACGGATAATGCGTCTAGACTGATAACTCGTCTCTAGTATAAATTCGGCCAATGTAACTCTGTAGGGCAAGATTTCTGTACAACTTCAAAACGTTTATTATGCATACTGACATGTTTCGCCTCTATTCATATCAACTGAACTATTTGTAACAAAAAGTATGCGATTGCTGCATTGATAATAAATGTGTGAGGTTATTCGAAAATGTTACCAAAAAATTAAACAACAAATATTGAAGCTAACCACGAAATATCTTTGCAAATTGTGTACTATTTGACGTTCCCTCATTCAGTTAGAAGTGTTACAAAATTTGCTATAAAACAGCAACTCCCTATCGCAGGATTCTATTGCTTTTCTGAAGAAAACAAAAAAGGCTTTTAATATACTGACAACGTGTTGACTTTCGCTTGTGGGCATTTTATCACGACCATGTTTATTGGATTGGCAAATTTCGCTTTTAATTATGTCCAGGTTATCGCATAAAGCATGATTATCAACATTGACAATTTGAGAATTATTACTGTGAATCAATTTTGAATAACTTTTTGTCGGAATACGAATTGCAACTAACTGAACCAACATATAAATTCAATGGAGATCACGCCTACCTTTTACTTTGTTTTCACGTCGAGTAAACACAGAACGATGTTAACCTCTTTCCATTTAACTTTTGTAGAACAGACGGCGTTAAAAAACCTGTTTGCAACTGTGTGTAAGCAAGAGCAACATTCAGTCCTCCAGAAAAAACAAAACTGGTCGCAGCGTGGAATACTTTCCCGTATTCCTTGGCCAACTAAATAATTGTCAGAGAATTGTAAATTTAACCTGGCGCTGCAAAGCAACATCGTTCTAATTAGCAATGTATTTCCTGATTGGCTGCTAGGATGCACGTGCAAACGACGCGAGAAATAATGAAAAGATTGTGCGCTTTCATTGAACTAAAACTTTCTAAAATTTGGAAACAGAGGAAAATAGTACAGAAATTTCCCAGAAAAGATTCCGGAATCTGTTGAATATCCGAAATGCGAACCATTCGACCGAAAATTCTTGAAATTCCTGGAGCAAAGATGAATGGAAAGAAAAATTTACGGGAAAAGTTTCTTAAAATTTGGGTATACCTCGCAAGGTTGGCTTCTTTCTGGAAATTCTGGAAAATGCTGCAACAGTTCCATTCGCTACTGGAAGTTGCCGAAAATTCAAACCGGACGTTTAGTTGAATGGAAAGCGCCCAATTGTTTACCATCATTTTACGCCCGGACAGGGATCGCTTGTGCTTCACCGACGGTAAACACTATCTGTAAAGGGGGAAAATTTTTTACAACTTGAAGTTCCTGTTAGACTACAAAAAGTCCCTTTTTTTGGTATTCAAGTAAAACTCTGACTCCACGCTATAGCCGCCGCCTTCCCCGCCACGCGTGTCTGGCGCTTTCCTCGCTCGCCTCACGCTTGCTTTCGCCCTCCTGAAAAAAGTGAAAAAATAACGCCTGTTAAGCTAAAACGATTATGAGAAAAAAATGACTGTTTTGCAGTCCAGGTTCCTTTATAGTTGAGTGGACAGATGAAAGCGGAAATTTTCAAAAGGGATTTATGTTAATGCTAATGTTATCTCGCGCTGAATAAGAATATGTATTTTTAATTTACTCCCACTTTCCCTTTTTTGGTCATGAAGACTTGTGGCATAATTGAAGTTGTTTTTTTTTACATAAAACTGTTTGACGAGACAAATTTGTTGACGAAAGAGGAAGAGTCTGTAGAATGATTCCACCCATCCATAAAACTCTACGAGATTGAATGCCACCTTTACCTAGCTGAACCCGATGTAAAATAAGAAATCAGTTGGGAAAAGGTATTATCTCATTCACATTTTCATATATACCTTGGTTTTAACTTCTTAAATTTGACTAAATGTTATGTAAATACAATTAACTTGAGTTGTTAACAACCTTTAAGTTCGACCACTAGTTAGCCCGTTCCAGGTAGTGGAGAACGTCGCAAAATATGGTCAGTTAAAGAAAAAAGACGGAAGGGAGGAGCTCTTGACCTCCCGCGCCGTTTTTTCCTTCTAGCTTCACTTTGCGCCGTTCCTGCTGTGGTAAGAAAGCCCAGAACAGGTAAACCTCACATCCGCTTTTTTACTATTGGCAGCGAAGTTGACAGTGTTAACAGTTCCACTACTGCAAGGAACAATGATATTGGAGTGTGATAGAGGAGTCACACTCGATACTACCTCATGTCAAGGCTGTGTGCAAATCAGTTCTTTGACGGTCAGACAGTTTATTGACAACATTGCAAAGAATTCCGTTTTATAGAGGAAAGGATTTTTCACCTCAAATAAAGCGCCCACACTCAAATATGAGAGTTAAGTCTTATTTTATTTTTTCGAAAACTGAAGAATGAGATTCCCTATATGCTCTGATCCTACTACGGCCTATTTATTTGTTATTTCCTAAGATAAGCGCCCACACTCTGATATGAAGGCCTGTATCCTAAGCTCGCGGTAAGGTGGCCCGTCTAACCGGGCTGTATATATCACCTCGTTTAAACAGGCCTTTGTCAGCCCAAGTGTTGGCGGGGAGTCCGTCAAGAAGACTGCCGGGTGAGTTTTGCAGTGGACTTTCCACTTGCGTTTTGGACATTTTGACGTTATTTCTATGAGGATGAAGTGTCCCCTTGCTTCATCCTCTCTTGAGAGTGCACAATTAATCGTAAAATATTTTTTCCAGTTCAGATACAACAAAGATGAACAAAAAACATTACCTGGCCTCTCAACATTACATAATAAAGCCTTTTTCCGATGACACGCAGTATTGCAATTTTAAAATTTTTTTACAAATTAAAATAGATCGTGACCTATTGATTTATTATTGTGAATTTAGTACACATGCAAACTTGAATTAAAATCAGCCTTAAAATCCAAGAAGTATGAGGGCCCAGAACTATACCAGGTATAAACAATTTACTTACTAAGTCAAAGGTAATTGCCTGAACACCTACATTCCCGTGAGATTGAACAAAATTTTTACGTTTTGCAAAGCACTGCACGTAAATATGCAATTATGTTACATCGGTAAAAGATCTATACGTTTGCCATGTGCAAAATGTTGAGGGCCATAGGGTTACTGGATTCAGCGTGATTACAAGCTTTGCCAAAAGACCTGGAACAGTCACAGAGTAGTACGCTCAACTACGAGGTTCCGAGTTTCACTACTTCTAGTTATTTCCTTACACCGATAATGCATGATTGGATTTTACCAAATCTTTAAATTTAAATTCTTTTAGACAAAATTCTAATTTCGTAGTAGTAGGTCAACCAATACGCGATATTGTACACCAAAAACGTCAAAGGGAAAAGTACACGACTGGCCTTGTCAACTTTGGCTGACGGTTCCATGGGACAAGAGTTTCGCTTCACAAAACAGCGAACAACTGTGTCATAATGCATGCTTTCTTGGTCACTTTCGATCAAGGTCTCCATTGGTAGAGGCCGCTCCATCTGATCGAGGCTCAAGTGCTTATACTTTTCTTGTGTTATGTCGCACGCCTGTTCGTGATCGTCCACGTTCCAAAAGTCTCCACTGTTCGTCGTCTGAGTGGCTGTATCTGTTTTTTTCGATCGTAAGATCTGAACGCCGGACACGTAGCGAAAGTTTAGCCCATGTCTGTTCTTCGTCGAGCCCTAGGGTGAAAATAGCATCACAAAAATAAAGGAAAAAGTGAATCGTACTAAGAATTCGCGTTTTTTAAACCCATCATGTTGAAAGTCAAGAAAATGATGATGAGCTGTGCCAAAGTCGGTACTATCTCAAACTTAAGACCAGAACATATTCATTACGTAAATATTTCTTCAGCAAACACATTTGTACACTCTCTTTCTCTCCAAGACGGGAACACTTTGTCTTGGGGCCTGTTTTTGATTTGGAGGTGAGCAGCCAGCCTTGGGTTGGTGGGCTGATCAGCCCGCAACAGCACTGGAATTGGTCATGTGACCATTTTGGCACTGAATTAAAATGATTTTGCATTTTTCTGCCACTGTCTTATATCGGGATAATTTCGACTTGAATTTTCATGCACATGCGACAGTCATTTAGGCTGGCAAAGTGGCGGCTAGAGCATATACATGTATATAATATATATTCAACCCGGCTTGCCGAGATCTCGACAATTCAGCCAACGTGCGCCTTTTCATACAAACGCGAAACGAGATATTGCTAAAAGGAAAGAGGCATTACTTGCCGGCGGTAAGGTGGGCCAGCCCGTCTGACGGGACTGTCTCACATCATATAAACAGGCCCTTGTCAGCCCAAGTATTGGCGGGGTGTCCGTTAAGAGAGAGTGTAGAAGGTTTTGCAGTGGACTTTCCACTTAAGATTTAAACATTTTGACATGCTTTCTATAAACCATGAAAAATTGTCGCCCATTTGTCTATAATCCTTACTTATTGATTTATATTAGTTCTAAGGTTAAAATTAGCAAGTGTTTTTATTTATCGTACCTTTTCTGCCCTCGTCACCTGTTTCTTTTTTGCAGACCCTTTTTCGTTGGATGTTTTTCACTACTAGCTCTCCACAGTCTATCCACCACAATGCACTCCAATAGACTCAGGAAAATGATCGTAAAACAAACCATAAGGTACCAATCCATTCCTTTGACGTAACTCACCTAGAACATACACACAGTCCAGAGATCACCCCATGTAAGGCAATAAGTATTCCGGAACCCGGAAAATTTTAGCTTGTAAAATCAGGAATCCTGGGCTTCAGAATCCGGAATACAATTCAAGAAATCCGGAATCCCGCTTACGATTGGAAAACAGAATCCAAGATCTACTGACAGGGAATCCGAAATCCAGTCTATCCCACTATCAAATGCTGTAATTCGCAACCCACAGCGTGGAATCCAGAATTTAAGACTGCTTGGATTCACCTACATAGGAAGACGGAGTGATTCTAAATGTGCTCTTTGCACAAGAGCACAAGAAGCCCTTACGCACGAAAATTAAACTAGGATAAACAGAGCATATTAACAAATATTGGTGTTAGCGTCTAAGCGGCCCCTTAAAACAAGCTTCAGAATTTGTTTTACCATTCGTTAAACATTTGTCTGCACCTTTTTTTTGGAGTCGAAGGAGTAAGTTTTATGAGAGCGCCAGGATTTTACGTAGGACACGATCATATCCGAAGAGGTCAGAAGATTACCTTTATACATTGGTGTCAGATGTTTTGTTGTTTTCTTTTTAAACCATTTCAATACACAAAAGCATATGCTCGTCAAGAAGGAGTCTAGAAGCATTGCCAGAACTATCTTAATTTATATAATTAAATGTAATTTTAACACAAAGATACATAATTGCGAAAACATCTGTACCGATTCTAAAAATAGAATCTTAAAAATAAATAGGCATGAGTTGACTTCTCTTCACTGACTATTTTCTCTTTGTTAATGCCTAGTAAAAGCTTACACAAAGGGAGAGCTTATAGCTAAAATACCTTGGGAAGCATTCCATTTGTGTAGCCGAGTAAGAATACAATGGTTAGAATAGTTGTGATTCCGACGGTTAACCGACTAGCGCTGTCATCTGGTCTCATCCAGAACACGATCCAACTGAGCATGACCAAAAATACACATGGTATATACACCTGGATGATGTAATACCCCATGCGGCGCTTGAAAGGAAAGGTGACTGTTAACGATGTGAAGTTCCCTAGATGAGAAAGGTAATAGCATGTTTGTGAATAACGTCAATCCTCCATTAAACCCCTCTCTCAAATAAGTTCTCCTCTCTAATAAGTCTCCCCTTTTCAGGGGAAAAACTCAAGGCCCTTCCTCTCTTTTAAGCCCACCACCCTTCTCCCCTTATTATTCGTCACCGATAAATGATAGAGTCTAGAGCGCTTTTCAATTGAGTGTCGAAGACCAAAACCAAAGTAATCACAACGGCCAATCAGAGTGAAGGAAATTATCAGAGGAAGCCAATGACAACTCGAAGTAAACGCGTGTAACCGGCCTGTAGCGCGGGAAAACGCGAGTGACCAAGGAGCGATTGGTTTTAGTTTACATCTGATTGGCTGAGAGGGTGGCGCGAGTTTTCTAGACCAATAAAACAGCACAGTAAAGCAAAACCAATTCAATCCTGGATTACTTTCAACACTCAATTGAAAATTGCTCTATTAATAAAACACCATTGTAAAACTTCATTTAGACTGATCCGGGATGGTTTACTTGCGTGTTGGAAGTTCGGATTTGGTTATGATCCTCGGCTGCATGACCTCCAACTTCTTGTACTCGAGCTTTTCCACTCTGTATTCTAATACTTTAAAATATTTTTAAATATTTTTAAAATTTTTAATATTTTAAAATTCTCTTTCTAATATTTTAAAATTCTCTTTCTGGCATAGATATATAGATAAATGGAACTCGTTACCAGATTCTCTAATATGTGCCGATTCATTGTCAAAATTTAAAAAGGGCTTAAGAGAACACTTTTTAACTAGTAAGTAATGAACATAAACTTGCTGCGATTGCATATTTAATTTGATAATTAGATAATTTTTAATAACTCCATTAAATATATTTTAGTGATATCTTTTACATTTCTCCTTACATTATAATAGTTTTATCTGACTTATATTTCCTTAATAGCTTTGTAGATATTTTTAGGGGGTCATCTTACATGAGGATTCAGTTCCTCCCTGATGGCAGCCTTTTTGTATTGATTATTACAAATAAAGTTGTTATAAATAAATAAATAAATAAATAGTTCTTTATAGAGAACTGATACCACCATCTTCGCTAAATTAGATAAGCTCTCAAATAAGTCCCCCGTAGTTATTAACCCCCCCCCCCCCAACAAATGTTTTCAAAATAAATAATCCCCCTGGGTTTAACGGTTTAATGATAGTATGAATCTCGTACGAAAATAATGAATTTGAATTTGACTTTGCAAAAGAACTTATTCAGCAGATACTGCATATAAAGTATGCTCCCAGGCCAGTAAAGTATTAATATAAGTTCTCTCACCGCTGACAAATTGGTTAGTTTTGGTCGACAAGGTAGCATCTCCAACGGAAAACTGGGCCATTTCTTTGTTGCCGATTTCAACAGTGGAATTCCGCCAAATAATAAGAATATCGCTGTCTGGGTGACCATCTGAGGATAAAAAACTCGGCATTAAATGGATCAAGAGCTGTGATGCTAATGCAAAGTATTCAGATATTTAAAAAAGCCCTATTTCCTTCTTCCTGTTTTATCAGGTTTCTTTAAGACTTGTTTTACTTAATACTCTGTTTCAAGAATTTAACTCTGTTTCGTAATTGTTAAGCTGGGTACTTGCCATTTTGCCAAAATTTTCTAAAGATTTAAGTCGCAAGGACAGTTAAATGGCACGCTCCTGTCTCTGTAGAGATGTCCTTGGATATGTCGATCGGTTCTTATGATGGTATTTTGTCCTTCCCCTTCGACCATGTTTTAAGTTGGTGCTAACTATGGGCTATGACAGGACAGAAAGGCAAAATGGAAAGAATATGTATCCTTTGCCCCCGTGAAGGATGATGAAGTCCCATAAGGAAGCCACGTTCATTTAAGATGAAGCAAATCCAGAACTCTGTTCAGCACCTAAGCCCAAGACAAGATGGATCAATCTTATCTGCTCACCAATCTCGGCCTGGTTCTTCTTCACTCTTCTTTTTTGACCAAACACATGGTCAGTATCTAAAACAGAAGACCTCCTACTCTGACAATCTCTTCCCATGGCAAAGCCTTCCCGAAATGCCAAGTTTTCGATCGGTAACTTTAATTTCCTCTCTGACGCGGCATTCATCAAGGAAAACCATGCTTAATGTCAGGGGTGCCTGTACACCTTTGTGCTTGAATAACTTATTGAACATCCTTCTTCGTATTTCAATTAGCTATTCAGTCAATATGCCTTGTACTTCACAAAATGACCTTTTATTTAATAGCCAGGCACGCAACGCATACCATGTTCGAGGAAAGAATGAGGAAACATAAACTTACAACTTCCGAACGTTAGTTTGCAAAGCTGTGTGTCCATAGGAAAGTCAAGTAGGTCCATTTCGCACGAGGCAACAATCTGCGAACTAACAAGGCGAAAAATATCGATGGGTAACTGTAAGTGTGTTTTTTTTTTTACCTTCAAAGTATCAACCCCGATTAAATAAAGCGCTTTTGTCTCTTAAGTATCCTGGCTGCTACAATTCGCTACTTGAGAAAAGAGAGGGGAACTGGAGTCGAGATGCGTCCCACAATTGTTTCTGGGATGGTTGCTGGGGACGCGCTGATAAGCTATTGGCTAGTTTTTTTTTTGTTGTTGTTAACAGTCCCAGAGGCCTTTGCGAGAGCTAACTCGACCCAGTCTTTTTCCCGTATCTAAAGTGGTGAATTCATGCGAACATATGACTTCACAATGGACTTGGTCCCAGTGTCAATGGTTTCATCGGCTCACTGGTTATAAACTGAATGAACTGATGATGGCAAGTCATGAGATTCAGGTCGAGTCACGTAGACGCGCAACTGCTCTTCGGTATTGAATTTTGTGTGCACGCCATTTTTATAAGCAAAATAATACCTGTGGACACGCATTTTAAATTATAGACAAATAATTAGCCCAGAATTCATCTCAACTTTTCTATACATTATATATACTGGGTTCTCTCCTACCCGACAGATAGCAGAGAATCTTGGGAACGAGGTTACCCTAACGCTCTTTTTAAAAATCACTAGAAAGGTTTGGTAGGGCAGAACTAACCTCCTGCTGTAAAACACAAGGCCATCTGGATCAATCCTAATCACGCTATGGACCTCCGTATCTGGGAGCATGAGGTCAGATTTCTTCGCGTTATAACAGAAGGTGTCTGGAAACCATAGAGACTTGATCTCATCGCGCTGAAGGCTGACACTTGAGTTCACATATTCAGAGATGCGTTTATCATACCACATTTGACGAAAATACATAAAAACAGGGAATTCCTAAAAAAACGAGAAAACGACAGGTCTTTTCTGTTGAAACTAAAAAATTTAGTCCTTTAGCAAATTATTTGAAGCATACACTAATCTATTTACGGTTTTCTTGGTTTTTCGCCCTTGCAGTTCTAAAGCTTGGGCATAAAAAGGAGCAAAATGACTGGCTACGCCCCTGGCTATGATATTCTTTTTCAGATTACTGAATTGATTCTTTTCAAAGCGCTAATTCATTTTTAGTCTACCTGTCCTATGGTACTTCTCATAATTACAATACGACAAGTAAAATTCCGTGACAGAACCCATTAAATTGGATAACAAAAACTTTGCCTTTACTGCGTGTACCGGACACAGATGACGTAAAACAAAAGACCTCTTTGTTTTCTGTTCAGGGTAAAATCTGTTTGGTACTGTTTCCGGCATGGTTTTTTTTCTTTTGTTTTAAGTCATCTGTGTCCAGTACACGAAGTAAATACCAAAAACTTGGTACAGCTTTTCTATATATTCCTTTTTTTCCAGCTCTTTGTTTAGCTCAGCAAAATTTATCATTTAAATGTGGAAAAATCTCTATCAAATTTTTTGTTTTCTGCGTCTCCGTTTTCTTCCTCCCCACAGATCGACGCAGAGCTGGCAAAAAAACATTAATATTTTAGCTATTTGCTCCTGGCTGGTCTTACCATATTTACTTCTTTGATATTTCCAAATGTCTCCACGTACAGGTCGAGAAAAACCTCCGTGGGTTTTCCTATTATTGACAAAACATAATGATAAAAACGTAAAAAAAGCAACTGCGATACTTTAGTGGTAGAGCCAAAAGAGAATTATATAACCGTGATTTTCTTACGGCTTACCATAGCATGCTTCTTTATAACATACGCGGCTGCCTACAGGGGCGGATCCACAGAAAAATTCAGAAAGGGGGAGCCGGGACACTTGCCAGCCATATAAAATACTACATGTATTAATTTATTTTAGTTAGAATTCTTTAAAAAGATACAAAATTTCACAGAAAAAGGAGTGGTTCGGCCGAGTCTTAGATCCGTCCACTGGCTATGCAAGGATATCAATTGAAAACTACTGTATCTTTTGTTCCTTCTCCAACTTCCTCTTGTCATCTTCATTTTATTATTTTCCCTGACTTTTTTTCAGGTGTAATTAAAGGTAGCCTGTCAACCTACCGCGACTTTTCTCACCTGATCCGAACTTCGGCCTGACAGTCTTGTCGTATTTAGTCGCGTTTAAATATTCCACCAAAGACATTGAGGTGTTTGCTGTCCAGTTCCTCGGATGATTCCCGGTACTAAATGTCAAACATAATAAATCGTTATCATTTAATAGCCTACGTAGCAGACGGTTTTATTCGGGCACGCAAACCAGCTAAGTGAGCGGCGGGCGAAAGCCGAAAAAACGGCCAGGTACGTAGTCTATTACCATATGTTATCATATATATTATAAAAAGATTTGTTAATAATTTCATTGTTATTACCTCTTATGATATTTCAACCGAGTGAAAGAGGTCTAGGATACGTACTTATGATTCATGAAACTGAAGTAAACTGTTTATGTTCATCACTGCCATTATAAAGTGAAACCGTTTATGTATGGACACTTGAGGTTTTGTCGTCGATATAAGGCTACTGTTAAAAATTCTCTTTTAACAATCGTTTATATAAAAAACACTGAAATGACAGCGGTGAAATACTCACCAAACAGCCATATTTAGAGTAAGCAGGAGAGAGGAGGCAATTAAACAACGTGCCATCCAGCTCCTGCTCAGTGGTTTGGTATTTGATTTTCCCATTGATTCACTGGATTTCGCTTACTATTTTCCACTTTATTGCTTGCATTCCTACAAAGATGAATACTAGGTTAACTTTATGGAGCAAAACAGTGGAAATGTAACATACACTGAATATAATCAGTAACACAAAAGTACCGGAGAACGGTCACCATAAAGTTGTGTTTTCAGAATTAACATAACATAAAACTTTATTTAAACTCGAATTTTTGAGTAGCTAACAAGCTAATATCTTCGAGCTGACACTACATAAAAACTATATAGAAAATATATATATACATTAAATGCAAGGAAAGAAAATATCATTTACAATTCACAATTTTAAGTTTAAGTATGTCAGGCAAAAAGAATCTACATGAAGGTAACATCCTGTATTTTAGTCTTAAAGTCTGCAAAAAAACTGGTACGAAAATTCCGGACAAAAAGGAATCCTACCTACTTAACTCTAAGAAAGAGTTATAAAAGTCAGTAACAATAAGGACCCTCTGAATTATTAAGTTTGCATAATTGTAGGTTTTTTCTTAGTCGGCATAAAAGTACTGATTACTTGAAATAATTTTACTTAAAAGTACCGATATGATTACTCGAAGATTTCACCCTTGCTTCTCTCAATGCTCATTAAGTTTTGATCTTCAAGCAAAGTTATATCGATCGCGTTTGACAAAACCCTGAAACTTAGATCATCAAATTTGGGACCTTCGAGACCGTCTGTCAAATTTTGGTGAGCTTTAGATTCAGATTCCAGTTTTGAAAGCGGAGAAAGTAATTTCCATTGCAAAATCACTTTTTTACCAATAACAACTGCTACTTAGTGTCAGTCACGGAAGGGCTCTTAGACACTGTTACTTAGGCTATGTACCTTCTTCATCTGCGCTGTCGGTCTGCCATGAGTATATAATTTAACACACGATTAAGAGGGACTTCTTTTGTATAAATCTCTTGGATTGCTTAGACTATGAGCCTTAAAGACTTAAAAGAGTTAAAACTCTTGGCCAATTTATTACAAATACCATTAAAATTTTTGGTCGAATCCTCCACGCAAAGGAGCTGAAACGCTTCTTTTGAGAGGGAAAACAGATCACCGAGATATTTTTGCCCGAAAGACATTTAACTGAATGGTTACTTAACAGCAGCTGTAAGAGGTGTTACAGAGAGGCGCGGCGCTGAATGTTGTGAAGCAACAAAATGCTCCTGGGCGTAATGCATATGTATGGAATATTTATTAATTAATTTTCACTGGCAAAGGGATTAAATTTGAAAGGCTTTGCTTGCGTTTTTGGCAATTTGTCTTTTTTTATGACATCAGGGGAATATATCTGCCTTTCACAGTAGGATTATGAAAACCATCAAAACATCGTTAACGCTCTCACAAGCCATGAATTATCAGTTATTAGAAATAACGTTATTTAAAACACCAATCATTTACCCAAGTCTAAGAGCAACTTCATTCAAAATTTGGACTTTTTGGCGCAGTTTTTTGTATATCTGAAAAGACTCGAACGAATTTTTTTAAAATCTATTTACATAATCTTCATAATTTATATAATAATGTCTCAAACTTTCATTAAGATTGATTCACTCAGTGCAACACCTTGAAATTTCAAGACAAACCTATCCTGTGAACCGGTCAAAAATCCGCGGTACAATTAACATTCACGGTTTGACGTTATCGGCTAATTTTTCCAAATTAATGTGGACAATACATATATGCAGGACTAGCACATTTCAGTGTGAGAATGTTCAATGTTTTACATTCAAAAGATGCGATAAATTCAAGATAAAAGTACTAGTCATGGAGGTATGTATAGTGCGCATTATTTTGGAAAAATTAACATAACGTCAGAACAGTGAATGTTGTAGCGCAGATTTTTTTCGAGTCGTTTCAGAGATACGCAAAAAAGGGCAAAAAGTCCAAATTTTGGATGAAGTCGCACCAAGACAGGTGGTGAGAAAAGGCAAGAACGAAAATACACCAAAATTTCCTGGCATCAAAGTACGATATCACGCAGCATTCTGACGTTACTTAAAAATAATTTGAGTCATATGTATAACGTTTTTATTAAATAATCTATCACGGCTATTGAAAATTTAAGGTTTGAAATATAATATTTTCGTTTTAGTCGAAGTCAAACACACAGAATTGTTTACTTCTTACGGAGACTGTTTGGTAAACACCAAAGTTTAAGTTCCTAGTGTTGGATTTACAGTGGCTGGTCTAGATCACACAAAATTTGGCTTTTTTGAATTTCAAAGGTTTTTGATTATTGTTGTCATGGTAATATCGATTTTACTTAAAACTACATTTTCACCAATCTCAATCCATAGCCAATTACTGGTGAAAATTTTATGCCAATCGGACGAGGAAAAAAAAAACTTTCAAGGCGATTGAAAAATATCGGTAAGGCCTCTGAAAAACTGTATCGAAACATCTTAAAAAAATCTTTTCACCGCATTGCATCTATTCAGTTTTGTTATCTCGAACAGGAGAACTTCGTTCTGAACAAGAATTAATCGGAAAAACGCCATGAAACTGACTGCATTTAAGAAAGCTTATTATTTTATTCAATTCTATAGTCACTTTAATTTGTTGCCTTTTATTTAGAATTTTACTTTTAAAATAAACAAATATGTCATGATCAAAAAAATTTGTTTTGAAGACACAGGTCCCTGATGGGCTTTGGTTTTCGGGGAAATTTAAAGCCGGTATATGTATTTAAAAAAAAAAAAAAAAAAAAAAGGCAACTCTACATTTGATCTTTTCAAATGAGATTTTGAAGGTGTACGTACGGGAAGCTAGCCAAGAAAATTTTTTAATTTAGGGTCTCCGCCAGTCAGAAATGTCATTTCCTGCGTTTTCTGCAGAACATTTTCAGAAAACAAATACGACGAAAATGCAGTGGTTAGTTGTTAATTTTATCCATCTCTAGTGTTACTGTGTTCCCGGGGGAAAAACAGGTAAAACTGACGCCATTAAGAAAGTTACAAGCAAAGGGCGAGACGTCTAGTACCCTTCAGACGAGCAAACTCTATTACAACGCCATCAATATATACCTATAATGCGAAAAATTTATCAATCATCCCGATTTAACAATGTTTTTAGAAAAATGCCCTCAGGAAATAATTTTTTTTTCTAGATTTCAGGTGTACGCACCGGCGTATGTACGTATATCTACGCAATGCTCCGTGCTTTTTTTTTACTTTTAATGCACAATTTGCGTAAACTTCTAAGTGAGCCATACAGTAATTTAAAGCCAAGAATTAGTGACTTTAAAGCCTTCAATATCCCGTAGAACTTAAGAACTAAATTATATTATTACTTGAAACAACAAGCAGCGTTGCTCCAGGGTCTTCAGGGTGATTACATTGCCTTTAGAATTTTTTGTGGTTTGGCATTTGTAATAAAGCCTAAATAACGGTTTGTCATTCCGGAAATTATTTCTGCTCGGAACATTTTTCAAATGTCTGAAAAACTCGGCGCACTTCGCCTTACCAAACGGTTTATTTCGACGCAAACCGGCTTGAGGGTAAATCTTTAACTCTGAATTTTTTTGTCGTTTCGTGCAAGACCGAACAAGCCCATGGCTTATTGTGAAAATTGATTATTTATGATACGTTCGAAAAGGCAAATCGTAACGAATCTCATTCGAAAATGTTCTGTCGTCCAAGGTCAAGTGCATAGTTATAAACTAGGAACAAGATGAGCTCTCATGCAGTTCTAACAGCAATGTATAAAGTGTAAAATAAAAATGTTTCAAAGCTTTCGAATAACATTTATTTTTGGCTCTGCTTTACCACACTGGAGAGAGTAAATCTTCAAAACATTTTGCCGTTAGATATGGGGCATAAGAAAAGGGACAAGAAAACCCTAAAATAACATCTAAATGGTTCGTTAGTTTTATGTGATAATTATATACTTCCTCTTCAAGCCCACTCTACACCGGCTAACAGCCAAATTTGATAACCACTTTTTAAGAACTTTTAGCGCAAATATCAAATAAAGCGAAAAGCACTAGCCGTCAACGCCCTCTTTTTAAAACCGGTCTAACCTTTTTCTAGTCAGTCACACGTGCAGAAACACACTATCTAAAAGATGAACCGGGCAAAGTGTAATTGAAATTAAGACCTTTCTTACGTATTTTGGAGCACCAGGGTTAATAATATAACCCTAACTAATCTTATCAGTATTCTATTAATGGCTTCTTTGCAGTTGGTCCTATAAGAAGCGTGCAGGAGCCATAACCCACATTAACCGTTATTTTAATGGATACTGTGACATTAAGGCTAGATATGTACTTACCAAGGCCGTCTAGGACGACTACTCAAGCTTCAAATCGTTCAGGGATGATTCAGTCGCGATGTTGCAAGAATTCACTGAAATTTCCATTATAAAACCAAGATTCAGAATCGATGTAAAAGTCTTTAAATCGAAACTATCCACTTAAATAACTTACGTCCGTTTATAATCTAAAGCAACATTTAACCTGCAAGACTCTTGCAAGATAAT